TAGTTTTATAAACTCTGTTAAGGGTTATACCATATTTGTCCACTTTTATAAAAATAAGGGATATTTTATATTTTGTGGGATAGATAAAAGACAAAAATACTCCTATAAGCATATTTAAGGGACTATCTAAATCTTTTCCTCGATTGTTGAAGATCGAGACAAATAAAACGGCTATTCCATAAACCAACCGCACTTTGGGCAACAACACTACTTCACAAATATGGTTTTACACCTTCTTCCGCTAAAACTCATTCACACACATGGAAGAACATTCTCTAGGGCTGGTTACACTGCCCATTAGGCTTACAATGGCACATAGGCAATGACCAACATATAAAATTCTGGACCGAGGCTTGGGTTGGAGCTGCAACTACCATGCGCTCTACCATCTATGGGCCATTGCCAGAAGAAAACATCAACCTCACAATCTCTTCATATAGAACTCAATCGAGTTGGGATTGACAAAAATTTCCTTTCGAAATACCTCAATGTATCAAAGCTCTTATGCAAAATCAGCACTTCCATATATACAAAAAGAACATTGCTAGTACATTCTGGGCCTTGACAAATAATGGTTTATTCTCCGTACAATCCATGTATACTTCTCTCCTTAATCGCGCCTTCAATTAATGCACATCAACCTCAATACAAATGGATTTGGAAGCTACCAATAACCTAAAAAATTAGGTCTTTCATATAGCTCCTTAGCCATAACTGTCTACTTTCTCGCCATTATCTCGACCACATAGGTTTGCTAACAGAGGCACTATTAATACTGTCATGACCCTAATGAAACACTCAACCACATCTTTTTGACATGTCCTAAGTTACAAAATTACTGAAAAAATCTAGGTCTACAAGCTACAACTAATATGTTGAATCAATTTCTCACTCCATCTTTGTGGCTTCATCTACTTTTCAATATGTCCCACAACCTTCATCCACACACATTCCTCTCTTTTAGTTTATCGAATATCTGGACTACACAAAATACAAACTCTTTTGAACATAGAAAAAACAATATCCCTGCGCATTATATAATTAATCAAGCTATAGAATTTCCTTATTGTGCGACAGTCTATTGCTAAAACTCCTAAAGTACAAATTGCTGTCAAATGGATTTCTCCAAAACCAAATTATTACAAATTAAATACTGATAGAGCAGTCTCTCATCAATCTGGAAATTCCGGCATAGGGGGGCTCATTCAGGATGCTCAGGAAACTTAGATTACGGGGTTTGCTGGTAATATCACTACAAAAAATAGCATGGAAGTAGAATCACATGCACTTTCCATGGATTGCATTTATCAATTAAGTTTAATTTGGTTCCACTTGAAGTAAACATTGACGCCTCATAGGCAATCATAGTTTTAAGAAATGAAAATCTCATCTACACTAATATCATCTATGATTGCAGGCACCTGCTTCACCAGCTCCATGATTTGCATCTCATACATGTGTACATAGATCAAAACGGGGTAGCAGATAGGTTAGCCAAGCAAGGTTGTACGATGGTGTACTCAGGAATACCAACTATTTTTGTCTCACCACCCATTTTTGTTATCGAACAATTAAGAGCAAATCAATCTGGCGCTACAAGTCTCCGGAAAGTACGACCCGTTCAAGTATGAAAATCTATCAGGCTTGACAATCAAATACCACCTTTTGATTCACATCCTGCGGACTTGTTGGCAACGGACATTCATCCTCTGCAACATGGCGCTGCACATGGAGTTACTATAGTAGAAAATTCCCCCTTTTGTAATGATCCTTTGGATCAACACTCCACAATAGATGTTAGTAATAGTTCTACTAGTAGTATTTGTAGTATTAGTACTTTTGGTGCATCCTCAACATCAACCTCTTTGTACGAATGCATCTTTATAATTAATATTAGTATTTATAAACGTGTGTTGCACGTTAATAATGACACATGATGATTTAAATATTTATTTATATGAAGGAATAATAAATTTAATTAATGAGAGAAATTTTATATACCATACTATAACAATCATCTAAATGGCAAAAAATATTATTATATTACCATAATACGTGAATTCAAAATGAAAGGATATCATAAGAACTTACATAAATGATCAATTTTAGTCATGGTAACTAGATAATTATGTATTGTAATTTAAAGGTATTTAATGCAATGATATCTTACCGAATACTTCTTTATAGACGGTGTTTGTTTTGTATATATTTCCTTCATGCTTTGATTACTCTGCCATAACCAGAACTCTTGTTGTTGATATTGATATCTCTCTTGAAAGCGCAACATATAGTTATTCGTGTAAGAAAATATATTGTGGTAAATATAGTTCAATATTTAGGATGTTTGTCCTTGTGATTTATTTATTATAACTACAAAATATAAACAAACGGAAACTTATTTTCACACAAATTTAAAAGGATATTCTTTAGTTTCGTAATACGAAAATTGAATTCGGAGATAAATTTATACTTAGAAGCATATTGACCAGTATCATAAGTTCTGCATGTATGACGTTATTGTCAAAACTTCTATATACCATATGTGTACTATTACATAAACTATTCAACGGAACTAAGTTTTCAGTAGCATGACAGACATATTTTTCTTCAAAATCAACCTATATGCAATGGAAGATTAATTTTAACTTAGTCTATTATATATATGGTGACACTAACATACATAATAAATAATGAATTTGAGAACAAACATATATGGTAGAATGCCATTTGGTATTAAAATATTTAACTATTCTTCTTAGTAGTTATTGTTGGCATCATCTTCTGATGAGTCAAAACTGAAAAATATTTTATTTTTACCATAAAACTTAGCAATCAAGCTTTTATTTAGTTAATCAAAATATTTATTTCTGCTAGTTAAGATAGCTCTTTAAATTCTATCATGTAATTTGCACAATTTGTGTTCTAATCTAATGATGAAAATCTATATTTTCCTTATTAAATGCACTACTATTACCATTGAGGTTATAGCCAAGTGTTCTAGAAGAATCAAATCATCTTTTATTGGATGCTCTTCTTTGTTTCTGACACGAATCAAGAAGTCACTGAATGTTGCATTTGTTCTTACTTTTATATTTCTTGTCATTTAAATATTTTTCATTTGAGGTCATAAGTATAATTTTGGCAAGCTAGTTTTTACAGTTTCTGCTTTGGTCAATTTTGGAACTACTAATCGTACGGGACAGAAATCACCTCCCAAACTATTACTTTTTCACCAAACGGTTCATCGATATCCAATATATCTCTAAAACTCTAGGCGATTGTTTCGATCGTTTGACGCTTAGCCAAAAGCGCTTCATCCCATATTATCACTTTTGCTTTCCTTATAAATTTAGCACTATTGCTCTGATTTGATATATTTGTGATGGTTATTTCAGTTATTTGAAGAGGCATATCAAATCTGAATTGAGTTGTACGTCCTCATACTAAAATCGTTGCTAGTACGCCACTTGTTCTTATTGTTAACAATATAATGCCTCTTGATATGACATTACAAGTAATGCATGACATAAGAATATTATTTCAATTCCGTTGGAGGCATCCAGAAAGGATAATCCCGCTATACCAGAGTCGATTATTTATAACATAGTCTTGAAAGTTTATTCTTGTTCAGGATTTAGCTTTGACTGTGCCTCCTCAAACACTTATATGGCCTTTTTAATATTATCCTAATCTTTTTTACTTTGTGATCTATTTTTTAAAAAAAATAAATTCTAACACTCTTTTTATGGAATAAATTTATGTACCCTAAGATTTGTTTTAACTTGAAAAATAATTTTACTCATATGATGAATTTAAAAAATAATTTAATTGGATTCTCTTGCAAATAATTAATTGAAAGATTTGATTTTAACATAAAATATAATTTATTTTCTGTTGATTTTGATTCTTAATATTAGTTCATCTCATGTTTGAATATTTAACCGTGATTATAATTTTTTCCACCATAATTTTTTTTAAAGAGTAAAAAGATCGATGACATTCCACTTTTAGATCTTTATGTTTGCAAAATCATTAGTGGTATTGGCTCTTACCAACCTTTTTCTTTCTTTTCTCACACGTTTATATTCTTAAAAATTTTCTTAGTTGTTCTTTAATAATTGAGTATATTTTTCTATATTACACGAAAAATTAATAATAAAAAATATTATTTGAGGAAAGCAGTTCAAATATAATATAATAATATATTATTGTGGAATTTTTTTCTCAATTTTAACGCTTTATGCAATCCGTTTAGCATTACTTTTATTTTTTTTTTGGTATTGAATATTATAGAGTGGTAATATATTATCGATATGGAGGATTTTTATGAAATAAATTTTATTAAACCTTCTTACATATTTTAATAAGAATTTAATAGACAAGATTGTATTAATTTTAAAATCTTAAATATTAAAAAAATTAACATAGAAGTTATTGTAGTTTAAAAAAATAAGTTACTACAGCTATGTCTTTTCCCTATGAATTCTTTTGTTTAATATTTTAGAGCTATTTTGGTCTGTCAATATTATATTCTTGCTTTTATAATAATATAGACTCTCATATTTTTAAATGGTTTTGGACAATATAATATATTTTCAAATTGAATTAGTAATAGGAATTTTTTAAGAAGTATATCCTAAAAATAATAGGATTACAAGGCTAATATATATTCCCAAAAATAAATATACTAATAGGATTCCTAAAGATAATCATGTAGGATTCTTAATGTGTAGTATTATGTCCTAAAACTAATAGGATTACAAGGCTAATGTCTAGAATTTCGATTATGTCCTTTTATTATGAGTTATTATGCTTAATATTAAAAGGTTATTTTTGTAATCCAACCTTTTATTCATGCTTTTATAATAATATAGATAGATAGATATAGATATAGATATAGATAGATAAGCTTATCTTTCCTACCAAAAAAAAAAGAGACAAATAAAAAATTGAAGTTAATTTTTTAAATTGCTACTCAGCGCCAAAATAAGCAAAATCAAATGTCCAGTTTTTCAACTGTCCGCCGTCTGCGAGGTATCCTCGCCGTAAACAACCACACGGCAACCACTAAAACCCCAATTACCTCTTCAAATTCCACCAATCAGACACCCCAAGCAATTGTAAATTTCTTGAAAGAATCATCACAGCACCCTAAGTTCCGACGCGAAGGACGGGTCCATTATGAACTCGCCGTTCACCGCCTTGCAAAAGCCTACCACTTCTCCGGCATCGAAGAAATTATCGAGCATCAAAAGCGGTACCCAGATATTCGTAACGAGGCCTTGCCTCCCGCCTTATTATTCTCTATGGGAAAGCGAAAATGTATCATCACGCACGTAAACTGTTCGACGAAATGCCTCAACTAAATTGTCCACGGACTATCCTTTCCTTCAATGCCCTTTTGGATTCATGCGTTAGGTCAGAGAGATATGATGAAATTGGCGGGTTGTTTCGTGAATTGCCCGCGAAATTGTCGATTGAGCCTAATTTACTGTCTTATAACCTTGCGATTAAGGCGTTGTGTAAGGCTGGTTCTTTCGATTCTGCTGTGCTTTTGATGGATGAGATTGAAAAGAATGGGATTAAGCCGAATACTGTGACTTGTAATACCTTGTTAATCGCACTTTATGAAAGTCAAAGGATTTCTGAAGCTGAAAATTTGTGGGTTGTGATGGAAAACAGAAATATTATCCCTGATCTTTGCAGTTACAATATTAGATTACGAAGTTTGGCTAAAGTTAATGAGGTTTCAAAGGCGATTCAGTTCTTCGAGGAGATCGTTAAGAAGGGTTTCAAACCGGACAAATTCAGTTACAATACTATGATAAGGATGTATATCGATGAGGGGAATTTGGAGGAGGCTAAAATGTGGTAACAGAAGATGCTACAAAATGGATGCCTTCCCGACTATGCAACGTTTAATATGCTTATTCCTTTGGCTTGTGACACGAAGAAGTTTGAATTTGCACTGTGTTTGTGCAAGAAAGCTATTGATTCACAAGTAATTGTTAATAGAGATAACATGCAGAGAGTTGTTGATGGCTTAGTTGAGCACTCTAAGATTGAAAATGCAAAGGAGCTGGTTAAGTTGGCCAAGTCTTGTAAGAGATTCCTGTATAAGCTTTCGTTGCCTTCGCATAACTAGTTGTTTCTCATCCCTGTTTCACTTATGATTTAATCTTTTGCCCGTGTACTTGAGCTTATATCAAGCTTGATTATGTCTTGAAGATGAAGTAACAGATGGTCTGAGAAAGGCTTGGATGGATTATGGAAAATTTAGCTTCTTGTATTTAGGTAGAGTTTGTTACATGACTGTTAACATTCAATCATATAGGACGGTTAAACATCAGTTGTAGTTCTTATCTGTTGTGTTTCTCCATCTTTGAGCAGGGGGACGGAGCTAGCCTATCAGCTACGGGTTCGGCCGAACCCAGTAGCTTTAGTCCAAACCCTATATTTGTGTTATAAAATTTGTTAATTATGTACTAATTATTGGTTTAGAACCCAGTAACTTAAAATGATTAGAACTCCGAACCCATAACCTTTAAATTCTGGCTCTGCCTCTGATTGAGCACCTTCCTATAATTCTTTTGAAATAGTAGTAAACAGCTCGGATGTCATAATTCTCTTGGCTCCTTTATGTCAAAGGAAACATACAACATGGAGACAAGCATTTTTAAAGGATGCTGGTGTAGGACTTTGAGACGGGGATTGGTTATTGATATTCTTGCACAAAACATCTTGGTGCTTCAGAGGTACAGAACTGGAGTTCTTTCATGCATTGCTCCTTATTGTAATTTGTTTATGCATCTAGCGTTTATTCATGTTTTGTTAATTAGATTAATCTAATTTTAAATTTGTAAAGAAGAAGAAGAAGAAGATGAGAAGCTTTAAAATTTGTAACTCGTGAGGAATTTGAGATTGAGTTAGACTTGAAATCCATCTTCTTTATAATTTGCATGGTATTAGAGCAAGACTCATCCCTATTTTTGGTTTAGCCATTGTTGGACCTCCGTTTTTATGTCACCCACGCTGTAGACATTCAACTCTTGAGTGTCCCATATTCATTGAGGGAATGAACTGTTATCTTGGTCTTGGGCAAAAGATAACATTTCCTCGCTTATACTTTCTTTTGAACAAAAGAAAAAAGATTAGGAGAAGGAATATAAAGGGGGGAAAGGGGTGCATTTTTACATTGTTTCTTATTATGCTTCAGGTAAGGAAGATTTACCTGCTAGGCTTTCATAGTTTGCCTATTGTACCTCTTGGATCAAAAGTTGCCAGGGGTTTGATTAAATGACAAAGGCAAGACACAGCCACTAGCAAACATTCTCGATAGTTTGTGTCCATTTGAGTCTGCTTTATGAGGGCTCTAGGCTCTTTGCACTTCTACTTCTTTATTGAGTTGCTGAATTAACAAAACAATTGAAAAGATATACTATAAGCTGACATTTCTAGAGTATCGTCATACGGAATTGGTAATTAATTACAGAGGGGCTTCTTTCTTAATTAGCAGTTTTGTGGTATAATCAGTAATGTTTTCTTAGCTTTGAAGTGGAATTGCTTACTGATTTATGATGTTGGATTTTTAAGGATTACACTTTCAAGGGCCAATTTTGCTATTATCAAGTTTCTTACTTGTTTTATTAGGGGGATTTGCATCACTACCCGTTTTTTGGGTCACGTTTTAACTTGTGCCCGCTTTGCAAAAAAAATTACAAGCGTACCCACTTTTTCGCGTAACTTCAGCATACGGGGCTGAAGTAGCAAAGACAATCACGCAAAATTTCAGCATTCTAGTAGACGGGCCTGAAGTAGCAAAGACAATACGCTGAAGTTTTTCTGTCCTGGATAAGCTTTTTCAAAAACTTCAGCAGAAGATGCTGAAGTTATTTAGTTCATTTGTAAAAACTTCAGCACTAAAATAGCTGAAGTTTTTTTGTCCTGGATTCATTAGTTTTGTTATAAAACTTTTTCAAAAATTTCAGCAGAAGATGTTGAACTTATTTAGTTCATTTGTAAAATTTTCAGCACTATATAAGCTGAAGTTTTTTAAAAAACTTTCTAACATACTAGATAAATAATCACCTTATTCTTTCATAGTGTATTACTACTATAAAATAATCAGATTGTCAACAGTATCTAAATCATAAATTTTGGAAACAATAAACTTGAAAAAAACAGAATTACGTGGAAATATTCATAAATTATTGTCTACCAACTTACGTAATTATTTATAATTTATTTTTAAATAATCTGATAAACATACTTATGGCAATCATCCCATGAACTGAAGTTTCATAGCAGCACCAACAGTAGCAGAAGGAAGAAGAAGAAGAAGAAGAAGAAGAAGAAGAAGAAGAAGAAGAAGAAGAAGAAGAAGAAGAAGAAGAAGAAGAAGAAGAAGAAGAAGAAGAAGAAGGAGGAGGAGAAAGGGGGCTGAAATTGTTTAAAAAGTGGGTACAAATTAAAACTTTTTAAAAAAAATTGGTATAGATTAAATGGGGGCGATCAAATAGGACGCCCCGTGCAATTTTTACGTTTTATTAGCTTCTGGCTAAAGAACGCTATTTTACTTTTTATACATAAGGTGCTTATGAAATAGCTTTAAAAGGACCCCAAGTGGTAGGGCTATGCATAATTTGGTAAATGCCGAATTACTGTATCGAAACCGAAAATTTTGGTATTTGGTATTCGATATTTTGGTATTCGGTATGGAATTTGGTTTAAGTTTTAAAAAATATTGGTATAAGGTATGGTATTTGGTATTTTAAAATGAAATACCGAAATACCAATACTGTACCGAAATATATATTATATTATACAATACACATATTATTAATTATAGCATAAATATAAAAATCTAAATTTTGCTTTCCTTTATTCTCTAAGTTCATCAATTAACTTTAAGGAAATAACAAGACATTTCTAATGATCAAATTTATTCTTTTATGTACAGTTTTCTATCTCTAAGTTGATATTTGCTAGTTTTGAACAAAATTTTTGTCAACAAATATTTAGTTTTGTACTTTTGAGTACTTTAATTTAGAATGTTACAGTCTATAGTTGTATGCACTAGTTAGTATTCAAACCGAATAAATCGAAGTTACCAAACCGAATAAACCGAAACCGAAAGAAGAAAAACCGAACCATATCAAATTTAATTAGGTACGATATTGGTATTGCATTTTAAGAAACCGAATACCGAAAATACTAAACCGAAATATCTAAATACCGTATCATACCAACCGACGAACACCCCTGCCAAGTGGGTATTTACCCCAGCTTTGCTGGAAGAGGAGTAGCGCTACTTGTAGATCCAAAACCAGACAATTTATTTCAGCGATAAAACTTATTACATTAGATGTTTACAGTAATTTTATTAGCTTTTAGGTAATAAAATTGATGGAAGAATATTTATTGATTAACTATACTTACTTGGTAACAGATTAAAGAAAAACATATCAGATGTATTTATATATCAGTATAAACGCCATATATACATAAATTTCTTTTTTTCCCTCAGTTCGACATGCACATGTTGGGGGAAAAAAGCTGCTGAATCTCGGATCTCAAAACCTTGGCGGTGCAACATCTTGTGGAACTGTAAAAGGACCGCAATATGGTGCGAAATTAAAAAATAGTCAGATTTATAAGTAGTAATTGAAAAATAATCACAATTTTAAAAGTAATCAAAATTTAGCTACTTTTTATGTAAAGATAAATTTGAACGAAAACATTATTCAAAATCCGGAAACTATTCTAGCATAATATACTGGAGTTCCAATATAACATACTGGAACTCCACTATAATATACTGGACTTCCAGTATATTATACTGGAGTTTCAGTATAACATACTTGGTCCGGCATAATATGCTAGAAGTTCATACACATGTGCTTCAATCTCCAGTATATTATATTGGAAGTTCATACATAGGTGCACTAATAACTTTCCGTGTTGTAGCAAAGTAATGGCTATGTTTCAATGACTTTGCAAACGCTGGCTATTTTTGAATTATAAGTCTAAAAATTGGCTAACCCATGTTATTTTGACTGCAATAATATGCGTATTTGTTTGGATTTTACTCTTTTCTGATAATGCCTTTGGATAAAGCTAATCCTGTTGTCTAAATGCAGGCTTTAAACTTAACCTTGCACTTTTCTTTAACAGATTCTCCTGCCATCTATTACTTAGTACTATTAATTTTCTTGAACCAAAACAAAATGCCGGAAAAGAATATGAGAAGGAGAATCAGAGATTATGGTAATGTGCATCTTCTTTTTCTTTTTGGCTCTTATCATCTGGTATTCGGTATCCTGATTTGCATTGCGTAAAAGTGCATTAAAAGGGAAATTGCTTCCTATTAGTTGTTTACTCATTTCAAACGCTCGAAGCCGAGCTATTATAAAGAAGTAATCAGTGTTTGTTTTGATATTAGAACCTTTTTGAATAAATCAATTAAAGAAAATGAAGGGGTAAATCTTAGCTAAGTATAATAATCTCTAGAACAAAGGGTATATAAGATGAACACAGTGGATAATATTTCTTGATCTTGTGAAGATGAATGATCGAACATTAACGATACCAATCGTTTATGTAGACAAGTGTTACAGTCAGTGTTTTTAGCTGGAAAAGTAGAAAAAAGAGAGAGCCCCCTACAAAGTTGTTTTTCCCGCTATATATAAGGGACAAACCCCTTCTAAACCCTAAAAGACAAATTGTAGGGAATATTCGAAAGAATATTCCTAATGCCCCCTATTGGACCTACACTACTGTAAAAGTTATGCAATCTCTAATCACTTATCTGTCGTCCTCCACAGGACATCGAGCTACAAGGTCTCGTCATTTGTCGTATTCATCAATCGGTCGTGG